TGCGTAGTATAGCATTGTATGATTGTGACCTTCCTTCCTTTTGAGTTGAACCTTGCTGTCATGATCCTGGTGCTGGAGGAGGAGATTGGTTCCCACTGCATGGAAGCGAGCCTTCGATGCTCTTCAAGTGGATATCATGATGGCCACTCGAAAACTCAGTGTGCTGTGCTCGTGGTTGTCGTCTGGGTGACAATATCGGAGTGGATTATTGACTATCCAGTTGACAGTTTGGAGAGTCCACTTCCATTCCATCTACTTTAGCAGATTCCAAGCACTCCTATGCTATACCTTCTCATCTCTTTGGCAATGTGGGTAGCCTTGTTAGGTTCACACATGGTGTGGACATTCCATGTCCCCACGTTTACTTTTGTTTTCATTGAGGGAGAGAAGACATATCGGCCAATTGGCTTCCCGAAGACTTTCACCAACTGGCGTCATCTCGCCTCTCCGATTCCTGTGAGGAATAATTTTGTTATTATTTTTTATATTTTGTTTGTGCTTTGAAGTTTGTTTAGTGGTTAGATTTGTTTTCGGGGTAGGGTTGCTAGCCCTATGCCCAAACCTTCCTTCTTTACCCGGGCTTAGGACCGGCTAGTAACTAGTGAGCTAGTTAATCAGGCGAGGTTTTCAACCTACCATTATTTAAGTTAAATCTTCCTCAAGGATTACAGTCTTTAAACATTATATATATATATATATATATATATATATACACGAATGTACAGCTTGAGAACGAATTCGTTGAAAAAAGTCCTCTTTGCTGAATATCTTGTTTTTGAATTACATAAAAGGCTATCATTGGTCAAATAGACACTTCTCCTTATTCTCTGAAAGAAATGAATATTGAGTTGAAATAAATTTGAAGTATAATTTCAAATCAAGGGTTTTACATTCATGGTGACGATCTGATGTGTGCAAAGAGTGTGGTGCATTTAAGGTGTGCTACTGACCTTTAATCTCCGGTTTGGTCAAAGGGTGTTTAACATTCTTCGGCTCTCTGAGTTAAGTTCATGCGTAGTACTTTTTTCAGTGCAACTTCTGCAACAACCTGTAAATCGGAACCAATAAAATTACCAGTACCTTTCGTCTACGGGTCGGTACTGTGAGCCTGCTCAATCCTGTTCATGGGTCGGTCTTGAATTACACTGTTTTGTGGACTAGCTGACTGAATAAACAATAACTCTGTCATCAGCAATATCGCCTACGTCAACTTTAGTTTTACTGCTCTTCTAGGTAAATAACAAGTAATATGCGAAATTTAAAAAAATTATTTATCCTGCCGTTAGATTTTCATAAGTTTTATTTTATTAATATCAGGTTTTCAGTTTAAGCGACAGAAAACTCCACACAGTTAATGTCAGTCTATTCTCAAAGTTCAAGAAAAATTTGTCCAGATGACTGTTATGCCAACTAAAAATTATTGTTTTTTACAGAAACATTGTTGGTGAACATGGCACAGATGCACGAGTAAAGAAACTTGGCAAAATAGAGTTCATGAAACACAAAAAGTATATCTTATCTCTTTCCAGCATTTCACTGATGATTGTCTAGATCAAACACCAAACGATTACTAAGCTTTTAATGAATTTCATCATCTACGTCTAGCACATAATGTGGACTTATATTTTTACTTCATAAGAGAACGTTTTCGTCAAAATTGTGACCGAACTTCACATCAGTACAAAAATAAAATCCAGATATTCTTTCTGTGATTATCTGTAATAAAATTGCGAAAATGTCACATATATTTGGAAACACAGATCAGTAATTAAGTAGTTTTGCAGTGAATGTGGGAAATAAAACAATCGTAATTTGTATTCAGTTGAAATGAAACAGTCTTTTTTGCTAAATAAATGCACGTGATTTTTTCACCATGCTGGATGCGAATTGTTTCTGCTGATCCATATTAGGCAAAGAATCACTAGAGGTCCTTCCAATGTTTTCTTTACTTGCAAGACACATCACTGATTTTAAAAATGAGACCCTACCTGTAGGAGAAAAAAGTAAGATTTTAGACTTCCAATGATATTTTGTCAGAAAACGTTTTCTGTTAAATGACGTTACTCGTTACTTAATCCCGAGGATATTCTTGACCACATAAATGCATACCGGATATGACTTTCTGCAATGACATGCAAATATGACTAAGCCAAGCAAAATAATAAGTAAACTAATTATGTTTTTAATTTTGAAGGCTTACAAGGCTAAGGATGGATTTAATGATCAAATGGCTTTGAAAACACAAATCAGAAAATAGGAGTCGGGGGTGAACTTCATTCTTTTTTTTATTACTTATTTATAAGGAAATTCATTCGCACAGAGAGCCGCATGACAGTAAACTCAGTTTTCTATAAGATACCTAAGGTATGAGTCAGAATTTCTAAATACTGAGGTTGGTATCTACTGAGTTTTAACTACCAGTGATGTTCATCTGTACTTGAACATCGAATGTAAGGCTATGTTCTTTTTTAAAGCTTAACTTTTCTCTAAAACCGTACTGCTTTAACTCTAGAATCAAGTGTTCATTCCTTGCCATTTGTGTATAGTTATCGTAATAGCGTCAGGATCCAAAAGGTTTCGATAAACTGCTGATATTTAAAGATAACTTCCGTGTATAATTCTATTGCAGATACAAATACAATCAATTCAGAATACATTTACTCACTTCTTATCTTTGGCAAATAGTGGAATCAGTCTGATGAATTGTCAAGCTTCGTTCCCAAGCCTCCCGCTTCCAGCAAGACCATTTATTAGCAGTGATACTTATTTCACAAGAAGTGGTGCTCTTCACTCAGTAGTTTCAAGGACAACACTCAGGTGCTTCAAGCAATGAGTACTTAATTTCAGTCGTAGTGGGAACATGATCATTCACTAGGATGCAGGTACGTCCAACTAGTGGGTCTTAAGTAGGATGAGAACACATGCTGAATTCCACACTGCTGGTAACCAAAAAACAAGAAAAATCGGGATTCTGCATCCTACCAAATACAGAAAATATTCCTGCTATCTAGATACGAGTCTTTTCAATAATAATCGCGATTATTATCTCCAATTAACAATTATCCCAGGAAATTTAACGGTGTTCTGTCGAACTACTCGAAACGTCTTTACATTTCAGCGGTATAATGACTGGTTTCCAGGTTTTCAATATATATTAAAAAAACATCATGGGAGAAATGGTATTATCATTGTTTGTTTCAAAGCCTTATTTACCTTGATCTCAAATGTTTTTGGATGGATAGTAAAGGATCTTACAATATAAACATTGTCAAACTTAAATAATGCAAGTACTAGTGTCCTAAAAATGTGCTTATTATTTTTTTCTTTTACATATGGCGACAGGAAAATAGTCGAGTTAAGTGACTATTCATTCAACACATGTTTTATCCATTGAGTTTGTTATGACATAAAACTTCACTACAAACGAATACTGCTATTTTAAAGAAACAGTCATCATGAAATAATTTCTTGAACATCTTGTTCCCTGTCTTTCTCGATTTGAGTCACTTGTTTGTGTATAAACAACTAAATTAGCTGTGTAGGAAATTCGTGTCATGATTTAACCACCAACCTTCGATTCTGTCCCTTTGGATAATTGTTTTTTGCCTCAAGCTGACGCCATAAGCATTCATAAACACCTGTTTATCTCATTCCTAAACACAATACTAGTCGCTTCTTTTCCCATTCATTATATCGTCATTATTTTCATTTGAGAAATCGAATATTCAGTTTACTTTTCATATTGAAATTAGTGTTATCATGAAGTACACAGTTCAAATTGCTAAAGTTCAGAAGTGTATTGATCCCTTGTTAGAAAAATTCATATTGGTGCAGCAGGTTTAATAAACAACAGCGGACACTACAGTAAAACTCTACTGACTAAAAAGCTGAAGTTTAACCACAAATTACTGTTCATATAAATTGACAAATGATGTTAAATTGAACTTAGGATTTAACTTATAATTTTACGCAGTACGGTGCAACTATAACAGTGAATAGTTATGATTTCACTTTGAAGTATCATCACATAAAATTCACTGTAGTGTTTTGACTGAATAAACCGGTGCAGATCTGTAGAAAAGACCACTTGGTTGTAGCTTCGTCTTATTCAAACGCTATACAGTTGTCACAATATGCATAATTTATTGACAATTATGCGTTCAAGGCTAACTAACTCCGAACCTTAAACACATAAGACAGCCTGATTTTCATTCTCAATATTAATAGAAAAGTGATTCTTATCATTTTGAACACTTTTTAAATAACATCAAGCAGTTCTGACTTTCTTCATGCACCTTTTGGTCGTCGGCTATAGTAGCTCAGTGGTCCAGTGCATAACTCACTGGCGTTGGAAGCTCTTGGTCCTGAGTATGAGTCTTGATGGGAACAACATCACTCACTAGAAGCCAAGCACATTTAGCTGATGAGTCCCAAATAAGGTGAAACGCGCATCCTAGATTCCACTACTAGCCATTATCCATCATTAATGTCAGTTCTGACTTTACAACACAGTTAATGTTATCCTCTATGTATTATTATCCCAGATACTTTAAGTTAGCATTTTTTTTAAAGTCTTCAGTACATTTAAAAGCCGAAATTAGACGAATCCACTTTTCTCTGTATAAATTAAGTAAATAACCCAGAAGAATATGAACAACAAATTATGTCTGAAACGTTATGCAGTAAATGAAAGTGCTTCACTGTGTGACACATTTAATCAACAAAATAGAAACCGTTGAGTTCCTAAAATTTTATTATTTTTGCATTATGTAAATAAGTGAAGAAAGATGTTTTACATCGCCTTATGTCTCATATTTGTTAACTAAGTCCATTTAATTGAAACTAATCTATGATTCGGAAGTATCCAATGTTCAGTCTGTTTATTTCTGAACTTTCGGACTATTCGGAAGCTTAAGTGAATATAACTTTCAGCAGTAATTTTATACTAGACAAATTTAAACACATTTTTAAATGTCTATGTCTATTTGTCTTACCTTCAGTTCCGAAGCTCGACTAGATCAATAATACACCAAAGTGATCATGTATCATGTTCTACAGATATTATTCAGCTTATATTTACCGGCCACAATTACCGCCAGTGAATTTCAATGTACACTACCACTAAACACAACAAACACTCCAATTCACCCTATGTTATCAAGAAATTCAAGAGATATTAAATCTGTGATATATATTGGTAAGCTGCGCAAATATATTTTATCCGGGTGAAAAAGATTTTTTTCCATTAAAATGTAGTAAGTAGATAAAGTTTTATAGCATGTTTTAGAAAAATTTCATTGACAATTATTCTGAGAGGGAAAAAGTGAACACTGAAAGGAAATCAACATCTTTATTTACTGTGAAGATGGTTAAGTTCAATATTCAATGACAAATATTTCTTCAGTAACTTACCAACTTCATATCTTCATTATATTTATATCCAGGTACCTGATAAGAAATACTTAAAGTATCTTAAGTTGGGAGCAAAATTATAAGTTGAAAATACAGAAAACTTGTTTTGTTGACTGACGAAAATGCTGTCTAACCACAGAGTTGCTGATTTCCTGACCTCTGGCTTCGACAGAAATGATGAGCCAGTCACTCATGTTATGAACTTTGTTGTTGACCCCTTCAAGTTACCACCTTTCTAACAATATCTAATCCTAATTTTTTCTTGAGTTGTTAGTCTCAGTAGTTATAATCAGATAATTAACAAATATACCTTAAAGATGAATCATTGCAGTACCTGGCATCCCTTGACAGTGTAAATGCATATAAAGCTTAAGATTCATAACGTCTCACAATATTAACACTTAACAGTTAAGAGCTGTTAGGTTTTTAATATATCTGTAGTGACTTCACACTTAAGAAACAGTTACTGCAAATTTCTATTATCGTTTCTGAAATTTAGCGTGATCACGTGAATTTGGGTTCTGTTACCAGACGAAACCGTTTTCATATTTAATAGCACTCAACTAACGGGATTTTATTTCTTATATACATAAATAAAGTAGACAGCTATTAAGTTAAGGTGGAAGTACTTCAAAACTATGCCATGAAGATGCAAGTTTTCTCTAATAATTGCAAACATTAAAACACAGGACATATATACCTTCTCACATTTTGACTATGAAAGAAGGCTTTAAGTGTATGCATAAACATAAGACTGTCCATCGTTAAAAGATTCGAAAAGTGTTAGTCGAAGAAAAGATGCCTTGATAAATTAAGAATGGGATATGAAGACAGTGAAAGACTTCTGATATCTTTTCTCTTCCAATTAAGACATACAAAACAAACTAATCAATGATAAAAAAGTCTCAAAAAAATTTACTTGATTGAATATTTGCACTAAGTTATCATAACAAAGAGTATGTTTGTAAAATAATTAACAACGTCATTAGGTAAACAAAAAGTAACATAATATATTAGGTACCAAAACCAAACATGTTTCTTGCAAAAACTTTTGAAATTTGGTCCTATAAATCCAGATAAGAAAACTAGTTGACATCAAATTGAGCCTGCATATGACCAATTTCGTAGCTAAAGCATTCATAAATTCTGTAAGAAGTCAGCACTCATTTAGTGGTAGTTGTACATCTCTATAGTTACTACTTTTGTCGGACGAATAAACATCATTTTACTGCAAACAGTTCAAAATAAGGTATTCTGACCTCAAAAAATATCCAGGTTCTCCGAATAGAGCAAACGAAATCTTTAAAGTTAACATTTTCAAGATAATTCGATTATTAACTTATTCTAGTCTGCAAAAGTTCTACGTCAACAGCTTTTAGTATTTGCAAAATGCAATTCTTATGAAGTTATCAACATTCACATGCTTTTTTTTAACATCTCTTGTTTTATGTTCAGATAATTAACTGATATCGTAAAACAGCTTTACAGTAAGTGAGCTGATTCAGCCAGTCAAAAGTGACTTGGAGTTTTTATAAACGAAGTTCTACTGAAATATATATAATTTGCTACTCGAAAACCATCTTTAACACAGTGCTAGAATGTTTATGACAACTGAAAAAGTGATAGACAGACAGATCAATGTCGAACCTTGAAAGGAATTGTATTGGTTTCAGCTGCTGAACTTCACTGCAGCATTCAGAGAAAAAATGATTAGAAACATGCTACCGGGAGTAGGAAATGTTCGTAAGGGGATGGAAAAAACAGACTTTCAGGATATAAAAGAGTACATAAATCTGTAAATATGTGAACAATCTCCGTCATCTCACCAAGGGTCTCTAACTATCAGATTCTGTTGTTTACAGGATTTCAATCAGACACTCTTCACTGGCTTAAATGGCTAACATCAAGTCAGAGACTAAGTTCCAAGTCTTTCTATGGTCATTGTGAATCTTCTTCTGACCCAGTTTTCCTTCGGCTAGCATCACAAATCGACGTAGACGTTGGCTGTGAATGTGCAACACGAATCCAGGCCACCTCAATTAGTCAAGGTTCACAAGCTAATCAACTCACATAACTTGTTTGTCTACTACCCTTCGCCTAAACTTGACTTTTCTCACATAGCTCCTCCACCATATTCGGGCAATACCACTAAGACACCCGTGCACAAAAGCCTGCTATCTGTTCTAATCTTTCGTTTTAAACTGCCATTTTCCACGGTCGTGTAAGAAACATAACCGACAAGACTGTTGCACGGTAGCCTTGCCTTTGAGAAAGCAGTCACATATGTCGCCAGTACCAGACTGGCGTAAGACAGTAAATGCTGTACTGGACTTTTGTTTACGAGGTGAGACTTTCCAAGCAACCAAAATTTTGGGGCCGACACAGTTATATAAGTAGATGAACCGGTCAGCTCATCTTCCTTAAAGTGGTAGTAGTCACAGGCCAATACTGAAGCATGATCTTAAATTTGGCAGATGCAACACGTGTGCCAAAAATACTAAAAATCTGCTCGAGTTATTCAGGAAAACATTCCCTTTTCGAGCTTTCGTCTAGCGCAACAATGTTGATTGTGGGCTCCAAAACAACCAGCAACTCCCTTAATAATAAGATGATTATTATGAAGTTCTATATATACTATATATATATATATATATATATATATATATATATATATACATATATATATATATATATATATATATATATAGCAGCCCAATGGAAATATATATATATATATATATATTTCCATTGGGCTGCTAGTGGAACATAGGGCTTAACTAGCACGTCACCATTTCACTCCGTTCTCTGCAGTCTTTTCAACCTCTCTCCACCACTCCCAACAACCTTTCATTTCCTCCTCACACCACCTCCTCCATGTCACCATCACTTCGGACACCGAACTCATTCTTCCCATGTGGGTTCCACTCAAGCACCTAGCCTGGCGCACGATGTCCCCAGTCGGTATTCTCAGTCTACGGCCAAATCCAATACAATACAATGCAATCCATCTCCACTTCCTCCTGCATATTTGTTGGATGATGGATGGGTTGTTGGTTGGTTCGTCACCAGCCAGTCAGAGCTCCTCCTTGCTCATTCTTATGGTTCTGGCCATCTGATCTTCAGTGTCAGTATGGAGTGATCGTTGGCGGTAGGTGTTCATGATTGTCTTTAGTTTGTTGGAAGTGGTTTTCGTGACGCGTCAAGTCTGTGAACCACCACATAGAAGCACTGACTGACTTGACTGACGTTGGTGTTGAAAATCCGGATCTTGTTCATGGTTCATGCTGAGTGCAGAGCAGAGCAGTGCAGTGCAGTACAGTACAGTGAACTTAAATGGGACCTCTGATATCCGGATTAATAGCAGAAGCAGTGATGCAGAGACTGGAAGCCATTATTCTACCTGTGATCAAACCATAAATTTGGATTCGTTATGTAGACGACACTCTTGTCATCATTCAAAAGGATGATATAGAAAACACCCACGGTTTGATCAACAATGTTTTCGTTGACATCAAATTCACAATGGAGAAAGAGTCAAACGACCAACTACCATTCCTGGATGTTTTAGTCAGCAGGAAATGTGCTGGAAAGCTGGAAACCCAAGTGTACAGCAAGCCAACACACACTGACCAAATCCTCAACTACAATAGCAACAACTCAATAACACACAAAATCAGTTACGTGCAGACTCTATTCAAAAGAGCGAGAACACACTGCAGTAAAACAACTTCACGGAGAAACGAAGAAAATTACATGATGTCTATCCAAAAAAAAGGACGGCTGCCCATGAAACTTTATCAGAAGATGCCTATACCGTGCATCACCAACTACAAAGTCATCGACAGAAATCAACAAACGCACCGTCCTACAGTACATAAATAATGTATCAGAAATCATGACAAAATTACTGAGACCAATTGGCTCGTAAACCAATAAATTCCCTCCAAACACCATTATGCAGACCAAAAAGTGCAACAAGCAAGAAGACAAACCGAATTTCATTTACAAAATCAGCTGCAATAGCTGTAGTCAACACTACATTGGACAAAGTGGTAGCCCTCTTCGACTTCGTCCACATCAACACCAATCGGCTATTAAACGCCACAACATTTCATCACTCATTTCAATGCATATGGATAGTTATGGACATGAATCCAATGTCAACAATGTAGAAATTTTGGAAGGGATAGAGGAGATCACAAAGAATGTCAGAGAATTTCTAGAAGCTTGGTATTCACGTCAGTCAGCAATCAACAAATGTATAGACATAGACCCAATCTACCTAGCCAATGAGAAAAATGATAAACGACAGAGAGGTCAGAGGTGAAGCAGAGGAACAGCCAACAGGAAATTCTCTGCAATCAATGTCACTGTACAGCTACTAAATCATCCAAGGAGAGATAATGACAGCTCACTTCATACTGAAGTTGGTGCTGATCATGTCATCTAGCAAGGAAGTGAAAGCTTCAAGATTAAACAACTCAGTTCAGAGAACACAATACAACCAAGATCATCCACCTGAACTACAAATATTCTCCATCATTTGAAGTAGATCTCCACACTGATTTCAGGTTAATGAAGGCCTGTCTTGCTGTCTTTCCAATCTTGGCTGGCTTTCACGTCCTCATCTGTGCCACTGCCGTTGCCTGTAATTGAAATGATGTTGCGCTGCCTAGTTAGGTAGGTGAAAGAGACAAACAACTTCCTTTCGATTTCTCCCATTCATGGTGATTGGTGCTTGTTGCTGTTGTTGGTTGGGTATCTTCATGACCACTGTCTTCTCCACGTTCACCTGGAGTAAGACTCGTCTTCCCTGTCTCACCTCCTCTGTCAACTTGTCGGTTTCCGCCTATTGATCGTTGAGTTTGTGCCTACAAGACATTAGACACAAATCATCATCCTCATCATTATCGGCGGTGGCGGGGCGGCGGCGGCGGCGGCGAAATTCAAATCTTCCCCTGGGGTCATTTCATCGGTGCAGCCAGCGCATGCCCATCTCCTCCTCGGTCGACGCTGTCGATGGCCTTTACAAAGTCGATGAAGTTGAGGTAAAGATCAAGTTGACTGCTATTCTATGCTGTGTTCTATGATGATGCGTAGAGCAGGGTAGCGTTGCAATTTGATCTACACATGGTTTGTACTTCCTGAATCCAGCCAGTCAGTCAGTCAGCCAGCCAGCCAGCCAGTCTGTTCCGGTTGTAATTTTGAATCCAACGCATCCTGTAATCTCTCCAGGATGATGCAGCATGGTATTGTGCTTGGAGTGGACAGGGGTGTAGCATGATTCCTCGCCAGTTCTTGCAAAGACATAGGCCATCCTTCTTTGGGAGTTTGACAAGGTAGCACTTCTTCCAGTCAATTGGTGGGTACCTTTCCTTCCTTCCCTGCAAACCTTCTGCAGTTGTGGTGTTGTGTAGTGTGCTGTGCAGTGTGGTGTGGTGTGGTGTTGTTAGTGTAGTGTGGTGTGGTGTGAGCATGTCCGGTGTCTTCTCTGCTTCTGTTTTCATTGCTTCTTGTGGAATTCCATCTGATCCTGCTGCTTTCCCGTATTTCAGCAAGTTGATGGCGTTCATGACTTCATCTTCTGCTTTGTCGGAGTGCTTGTGTTCACTGATAGTTGTGTGACTGGGCTGCTGGTGGTATTTCTGTACGAGATGAATTTGGTGGTGTACTGGGCGTTGCTGATCCGAATGGATGTAAGTAGTATTCAGTGAGAGGGTGGAAGAAATCATTGTGAATTATCAGCAATGGGTAAGGATTCTGCTAAGAGAAACGCAAGAAACAACGCCGGCGTGTGAAGATCAATGAAGGGGAAAGCAGAAGAGGAAGTGGAGCACATTTTGCAAATAACGTTTTTAGCGCAGTTTGTACGACATTTAACGACTACGGTTCCACTGTTAACATTAAACTTTTCAACCTACCTCCTACAAGAGTCGTAAAAGTGTCTTTTGCCTTTGCGCTCACTCTTCTTCACTTCTTTGTCCAGTGTTTTATAGGTTGTGTTCAGTTCCTCTATTCTTGGTTCATCCTTCCACTGCATTGCACTGCACTGCACTGCACTGCACTGCACTGCACTGCACTGCACTGCACTGCACTGCACTGCACTGCACTGCACTGCACTGGTTCATCTTCACCATCACCATCTTCCTCTCCCTCATCTATCAGCTTCCATGTGTGTGTGAACAACCATTCCTTGTCTCGCATCTTCTTCTTCCTTCCTAACACGGTTATGCAGGTTCCGTTCCACATACCTTTCAAAGGGTTCCAGTGCTCTTCCACACAGGCTTCCTTCACGGATTCTGCTCAATGCCTCCCATTTCGTTCTGATGACCAGCTAACATGAAGATGTCCTTTGTAGTTTCGTCCTGCAGTTCACTTTCTGTTCTGCGTGTTCAACTTCAACTGTGGTCTATCACCAACTTCTGTGAAGGCTTTCAACTTGAATTCGAAGGTGGGTTCCCTGCACTAGATGGTGAGTAGTCTGAACCCACATCTGCTCCCCTTCTTCATCTGATCTTGTGTCCAGTTGGCTGGCTGCCTCCCCACCTTCTTCACATTGAGATGAATTCGATCTGATTTTTAGTGTGTCCTGATGTCTAATGAAGTCCATGTCGCTGCCTTGTGAATGGATATCCTTGTGTTTGCACACACTGCCTCGCCTCCAATCACTAGATTGTTCAATACGCAGAAGTTTGCAAACAGTTCTCCATTCTCATTCATCAACTCATCGAGTGCTTCCCGACCCATGATCAGTTCTGTTCTCTTTCTGTGTTTTCTGCTCCCAGTTCGGCATTCATGTCACCCCACCCAACAGAATGAGTTTTGATGTCGCCATCTGGGGTGAGATCTTGTCGAGTACTGATTGTAGTTGTCTGTAGAATTCCTTCTTCTTCTCTTCATCTGCATTATTTGTAGGTGCGTAGCGCAGTGTAGCATTGTGTGATTGTGAGTTGAATCTTGCTGTCATGATCCTGGTGCTGGAGGAGGAGATTGGTTCCCACTGCATGGAAGCGAGCCTTCGATGCTCTTCAAGTGGATATCATGATGGCCACTCAAAAACTCAGTGTGCTGTGCTCGTGGTTGTCGTCTGGGTGACAATATCGGAGTGGATTATTGACTATCCAGTTGACAGTTTGGAGAGTCCACTTCCATTCCATCTACTTTAGCAGATTCCAAGCACTCCTATGCTATACCTTCTCATCTTTTTGGCAATGTGGGTAGCCTTGTTAGGTTCACACATGGTGCGGACATTCCATGTCCCCATCCGTACTTTCGCTTTCATCGAGAGAGAGAGAGAGAGAGAGAGGGAGAGAAGACACATCGGCCGATTGGCTTCCCGAAGACTTTCACCAACTGGCGTCATTTAGCCTCTGAGATTCCATCGAGGAATAAGTTTAGTTTTGTGTCTTATATATTCTTTATACTTCGACTTTTCTTTAGCGGTTAGGTTGGTTTTGGTGCGTAGGGTTGCTAGCCCTTTGCTTAACGTTTCCTCTTTATCCGGGCTTAGGACTGGCTAGTAACTAGGGAACTAGTTAGCCAGGCGTGATTTGTTGTGAAGTTAGTGTTATGAATCATATTTCAATTTTCAAGTCCCATTAATTGGAAAAAGAATAATGATACTTGAGAAACGTGTGACGAAATATAATGTAGACTGAAGGTAATATACATTTTTGCTAAATGCATCTTTCCAAGTGGTTTTGACGTCAAGTAATTGTTCTTATCATCTGCTTGGCGTGTGATTTTGAGAGGTATATCTCATTCCAAGTGGTTCGGTCTAGACTTTCAATGCAGGTGCTTAGTGAAGTTGTTTCCGGCTTTATATGCCTCCCAGAAGTTAACTCTCCATAAATTTCATTCGCTGTAAAAGCAGGAAACAGCTTTCATTTCGTGAAAACTGAAATTAAGTCGAATGATTGTACACCATGTTCAAATTCTTAGGTTTGAGCAACATAGCTATCCATAATCAATCAGATAATCTGACAGAAATTTATCAGCTTCCCTTTTTTATTGAAGTGACAATAAAACACTTAATGACATGAAGATGAGACATAGATTTTCAAAATTATTGGCTTACAGAAGACCAAGTCAATAACTGAGGGTATAATTTTATACTCATAGTGTATTTAGACAATTCAGCTAGCTTTTCCTTGATCGAAATCAAAAGTGTCATCTCCTTCATCATAGAAAATCATACCGAAAGGTGAGCAGGTAGCATTTGTGATTGTTGATCTAGTTTCGATTACACAGTCAGTCATGTTTCTCAAGTCGTTTAGTGAGCTAGGGATTATATATCTGTTGTCTAGTAAGATAACAGCTTTAGTATAATAACACAACCAACCCTTCAATTCCCAATGTGAAACCTGGTAGGCAAACCATCCTTCATAATCTTTGTTGTAGGTATTTCTGTTTAGATCCATTTTCTCCTTGAATGTGTCTATCGATGGAGCTGCTACTTGTAGTTCCAACACCAAGTACTCCCCCGCAAAAGAAACTGAGTTCTAATCATAGTTTATTCAGTCACGACTTTTTAACCTCGTCGTAATCTCCTCTGAGATATTCAGCTTCGAAAGGAGTACGACATTAGAAAGATTAATATTCAATTTGTTATTCAAGATTAGATGCACAAAAATACGATAAGATCTTTTCCTACTCTATGGTAGTGGGAAAAATTTTAAACTGTCTAATCACTTTTCGTGGGAAATGCAAGAATGTCCCATTACTAACTTGGTACCAATTTTGTATTAATTCTAGAACATCTGCTTCTTTCCTAAGGAGAAGACTGCTCACTTGTGAATCCCTATCATGATAAGGTTTTGTACAAGCAGGATATATCTCAAACATATCTTCTTCAGCTACAACCTCGTCATAATAATACAATATAACATAGTTTTCTTTCAGTTGTTGGCCAGTGTGCACTACTGCACTCGGTTTCCAGACTCCATCGACTAGAACATCTGATCAATTCATGTAGGTCAGTCTGAAGTCCTAACCAATCATCAATATCATGACGAATTCTTCAAACTTCATAACCATCTGCAAATATCAGAGATGATGACCTCGGTATCGGTAATCAGTCAACATAAGGGTGAAAGAAGAGATGTTCAACTGTGATGGACTGAACAACTTGGCTAGTAACAAGTTTCCGTTCATGGACTACTCCGTTCACTCTCACTTTTTGACTTATATCATCTATATAGTCTTCAAACCACTTTTGCATGCTAAGGCCTATAATGAAAGCAAACAGCCTTCTCAGCAAGCCTGAAGATAAACTAATTTTTCACCTCTGAAAAATATTTGTCGATTCTCGATGATTATTAGAGCATCCTCTTTTTTAACATTCTTCACCAGCCTAAGAAACAGCATCCAAATATTTACTTTCGCTCTTTGCTGCTCTTTAGAATACAAACTTTGAAAACCTTTTTTCAACCCACAAATGAATATTGGGTGGGTCTCTTATAAGAGCATAGTGAAGCAAAACACCGTCTACTAAAAATACTGAGGGTTAACAGAAGTCTAACGAAGTCAATCCACGCTACATGAATCCGCGTTGCCATTTAATACTATAAAAGGAATACTTCAAAGCTGTTAAACAGAAAGCCAGCCATAAAAATAATAAACAGTATTCATTTCCTTTTTTAGGAGTTATTCTGAGTGAAAGTGATAAAGATATTGAAAAAGCATTCGAAAATGGTATACAAGCAGCTAATGAAGTACTAAGTCAGAGTGGGACACTGTCATCTTATCAATTGGAACCTATTATTCAGTTTGTACCGAGGGATAACGTTTTCATATCTACAAAACAAGGTGAGTTGCTCTGCTTTCCATTTGTTTCTTGAAAAGTAATTTTAAAACTTGTGGATAATTTTGATGAACGCCTGGATTTGTGACATCCAAACTACATAAGCTGTGGAGTCACCCACTAAAAAGAGTATGGTTATTGCCATTACCAAACTGGGTTTACAACCGTTATTAAACTTAATGCTTGGTTTCTACCAACCTAATAATGTTACAACAGGTCCCAAGTGGTGACTACCTCACTAATTTAAAAAAGTACCCTCATTTTACAAATCTCCAGGGTTTGGGATGGCATTTAACATTACACGACCTAGTTTACTCTCAAAATTGATAACTGAAACAGTGTTCATGCATAACGACTTGTCACAGTTACGTGAACAATTAACAGACGAATAAAGAATATTAGCTTAAGAACAATAAAATGAAGGTTTTTAATAAGTTTGCAGAATGCTTCTTTTGATGATTGTGTTCCTGCATCTTTTTGTTTGTTAGTATCTTCCCGGGGGAAAATAATAAACACTTAATTAAAATATCAAATACTTCTTATGTCTGAGCGTTTATTCACTTTCAAAAATCGACTGCCAGACAAGTTCTCTGCTCCATTACTAAATCACTAATAATCTTGTTAATAATCCTTTCGCGTAGAAGATAAACGGGGTTTTTGAAATCTTTACATAGTCATTTTGATGTCTCATCTACACACAACAGGCAAGATAGAGGTGAAAGCAATCTTAATATTAGTTGGCCGGCTTGAAATCACGGAACAGCAAACCTACCATTTAAAGGAATATATATGAATGATTTGTCAAGCACTTAGTACTTTATCAGCTATAAAATCCGATTGTATGATCGACTGTGAATGACGCTTAACATCAGTCAGATGGAAGAGTTCTTAGGCGGAAATATTATGAAGTTGGTAGTATCGCTACGGTAAGAAAAAAATCGCTTCCAATAGAAAACTCACTTTAATATTTCTTTGCTATCTTTGAACCTATGAAATAACTCTCTTGTGATTCCCCACCTAGCTTCTAATTGAAAACTCAATCCTGACATATTATTCCCCATTGAAAATGAACAAGTTAGTCGAATGACTAATTGTCTAAAACTGTTCTCACTTAGCGATAATACTATTCACTGATTACGCTTATCTTTGCAGTGATTGTGCAAGAAAATGTTTTTGGGCTAAGTTTTCTTACTTATTTTCATTTAATAAGAATAAGGAAGTTACTTGGAAAGTTGAATTTATCCTGCTTACTGGTAGTACTGTGCAGACAGCTTAGTAGAATAACAGGTAAGCTTGGGAGTAGGAGTACAATAAATCTGCAAGTAAGACGTAAACTGTCACTTGGATACTGGAGAGAATCATAAAATATGGTAAAAGTGTAAAATTAATTTTAGCTTCTTGACATTGAGTAATTACAATGAACCCTGTTGATTAAGCGTGACTTACCTCTAGTTTGTTTCTACCAAGTTTTGTAAAATGCAGCGGCAGCTTTTACTTTGGGATGAGATTTCTGACATGAGTGAATTCTTTGCAGCACAAAAATGCTGGTAAATTACTGCAAAAGATTACAAAATATTCCTTTATGTTATTAACTTTAGTGTCAGTTAACAAGTATACTCAGTGAAATAAATGACTTAAAAACTTATTGGAACAAATGTTAGCAGTGCAACAATGGTAATACTTCATTGCCAGAATATTCTTCTTTTTCTTCAAGTTTTCGAACTTTACTGATTACAGAATAACAGATTTCATTCTCAAATATATCTACCAGTTGTTTACACACCAACGAAACCCGTATTATGTAAGCAGTAGAATCCCTTAGTTTGCTTTATTTCTTCGCACATTTGTCAGTTATGTTTTATGGACAATCAAGTGAAACTTTAAATTACCCAGGATATGCTTCAATAATAGATAAAATGCAGTAAATTAATTCTATCTGGAGGTTTGTGGAGGTTTATTAATAGATTTTAGGTTGGAATTTATCATGGACTGACATCAATTGAAGGAACATTGTAAACCTGGGAGCAGTGGACAGCTGTTTCATTCCAGTATGGGACTCCAAAGCGGTGCCCACTGGTGACTAGCTTCGAGAGGTGGTTCCCGAAGTTCCAATGAGAAGTCGTGACCAGTGGAGTCAACCAAGTCCAGTCCTTCGAGGTTTCCAATGTCCCTCCAACTGATGTCAGTTCAAGATGAATTCTAATCTACAATGAATTTCAGTTTAGAACAAGTTATTTCCATCAAAATACTCTCTAAACTTCTAGAGTTTTTACATGAAAAATTAGAGCTTAGAGCTGAAACACTTGTCAAATATTGATAAGTAGCTATTCGAAACATACATACGTGGCATTTTGTAAGATTTGAATAACTTTTTCTAAACTCTGTTTTGTTTATTTTTTTGTAAGATAGAGGTAACTCTGGGAACGAACAAAAGTGGTAACCCTATATGTATAGGCTTTTTGGGAGGAACTGGTGATAAGAAGAAAGGCTGAAATTGAGTATCAATTTAATATGTCTGAGTAAATATATATTTAACTGCTGACTATCCCAGTTAGTACTAAATGTTGAATAACAGCCGATTAACGACGCTTGAATACTAAACTTTGTTAGAATTACAAATTGAAAAATGCATTCATGGCAGTCTTGTAATAGATCCATATTGGAATTCCATTTGAAATAGAAGTCAGTCAAGCCATGTGTATCTCAGTGACAATATTTCTAAGCACGTTAATAAACAATGCATAGTTTGAACTACCAAATAGTCTGTAAAAACTTTGATCAGAGTTTGAACGAACAGCTTCACGGTTATTAACATTGGATATGTTTTATTTGTATAAACTGCAGTGTCTGAAATAATATAATACTGATGCTGCACTCAACAGTTTAGTCCAAGGTTTTTCAGGCGAATGACCTCAGTTTTCATCGACTAACCTTCACAAGTAACTATGAAACGACATAATACATCTGTGCTTTAAGATGTAGGCATACAGATTGTACATATTCCATTTCTATTATGTGAAGATGAGATCAACCAAGTTTATGTCTTACTTCTATCTACCCATGATACCATATCTCAAAAACAGTTCTTTGAAGCAACTGCGATACACTAATCGATTTCCCTAAGCTTTATCTGCAGTACATGATTTTGTAACTAAACGTGGAGTTGTCAATATTTTTACCAAAAAAAATTCACTGACCAAACCAACTTCTTTCAACTTAATGTTACGTCAAAGGATTTTGTGGTAAAGGAATGATATGAAAAATAAGGGGAACAGTTTTTCCACTGAATTAATCAGGTCACCGAAAAGTGCACAGTTCAGTTTGAAAATGATGCAGTCGTTCTGTTTCTAAACGGAAATATGCAGATCACAGGATGTGGTATGCTGAAGACGACTAATAACATCTAAATATCGAGCATGAACGCCATATGATAGGTACAGTGGATTCAAGTCAGCAGTTTTGTATTATTCATGCAAATGGATGGTTATCATTAGCCAAACTAATGTAATCTAGAGTTTGAATGGCGTTTAGTTTATAGGCTGTATAGCTGACACAATGATTCAGTTAAAACTTACAAATCCTCCAGTATTTATGCTATCAGTACCAAATAACCTTCAGCAGATTACATCATAGAAGTCTGGATAGTGAACCCTTTTGACTGGTGAAAATGCTCTATAGCTACTTATAACAGACAGTAGTATATGTCACCCACCTTCTCTACTGATTATCATCCGAGATGCAAAACTCTTCTATTTCTAATCATATTTCTAATTAACATAATGTGAGATGGTTAATAAATACTAATTCAATAGGCTTACTCTTCCGCTTTTCAAAATAAATAGTTTTGCGATTAATAAGTCTAATGATGCACACCATAAAACGTGTTACTATCTATCGCAGTATATGCTTCATTAAGTGCATAATTTCCGTCATGAATACTAATGATTATATTTCAGTGTATTTTTGTACTACCACCACCATCACCACTACACGTTATAAGGGAAAGCAAATGAATTGGCAAACTTCATTCATCCTACGATTTGTTCCCATCTCATTTAATTTTTCCTTATTCCAATGTTTCTATATGCTTATATCAATGCAAATCAATTAATAACAACTTTAATGCAAACAAATAACACACAAAAACAAGTAGTCTAAATGCCATTATAGCCGATGTATTTTCATAATTATACCACAAAATAAGGAGAAAATAATCTAAAGAAAAGTTGATGCTCGACACTAAATATTTACACACAAAAATGGACATATATGAATAAGTCGATACTGTATGAACGGTTGGAAAATGACATTTGGTTCAAAAGTAACTGACTAACTATTACTTTGGTTAACTTGATCTTAGGTTCTAGGTTGCACGGATGATATTAGGAAGTAACTAAACAAATGAGGGTTTCAGACAGAATTACATATAAACGCAACGTATTCGTAAACTTTTATTGAACTAAAAATATAAAAATGTTAGCAATTCCCTTACCTTACTTAAATATTAAATTGAAAAAATCAGGTTACATTGTTCAGATACATGTACAAAACAAAAACGCGGGAATGAACGTTATCGTCACTACCTAGTAGTCGGTGAGGTCAAGGTGATGGTATAATCCACTAACAAGTGTATGTGCAAATGAATGTGGGTGAAAAGTATGAGGAAAATAATATGAAAGACGAACCCTATTTGTGTGTCTGTGTACTTTAGTTATGGTTAGTGTGTAAAAATGTTATTTCGGATTACTTGTTAACTTGACTGAATACTTAAGCCATCTTTGCTATTAATTGCTTCGTGAAACAACTATAGTCTGAAGGTAGATTTACATACTCAAAAATGCTTCAAATTTATTTTCATCGAAGTTCGTATCAGCAGTTAAGCTTGTCCTAATTGTAGTGTTGCCTTCACAAAACTACTTCTATATTATCCTGCTGAAACAAAAAATTCGGACATAAAATCTTCACATTTTATTGAGATGGCCTTCCACAATTGAGAAATTGCCAGTGAAATCATCGAAGTCATCTAGAATAATTCTCAAACCAAAAAGAAAGGCAGTTGGCTAGTTTACTGCATAATGTTTGGAATCTTAATGCATTCATTAGAAAGAAGGTTTACTATTCAACTATCCGTAATGACGGGTTACTCTAAGAATTACCTTAGCGACTGTTGCATACAACACAAACTTAGTTTCTCTTTCATATTATTTTCTTCATACTTTCAAGTTGATCCACTTGTTAGTGGATTATACCATCACTTTGACCTCACCGACTACTAGGTAATGACGATAAAGTTCATTCCCGTGTTTTTGTTTTGTACATGTATCTGAACAATGTAACTTGATTTTTTTCAATCTCATATTTAAGTATATAATAGCCGCTACAGGTTCTGTTTCTCTGAAAGAGCGGCATTCACGAGGTAAGAGAAGTACAAACGTTTTTACTTTTTTAGTTCAACAAAAGTTTACAAATAAGTTGCATTTGTGAGCGATCTACGCAACACTCAAATTATTCTATTTGATTCGTTCACTTTTTGCTCGTGATGTCTTTTAGAGGCCATACTTTTTGTGACAAGTTTTAGATACTGAAATACAATAACTCAGTTTCTATACGCAGAATAAACACTCAAGTACACTAACCTAATGAAAGCAAATAGATGGAAAGCAATACAGAGTTGGAGTTCTGAACCCTAACTAAGGGCAATTCTCCCTTGTTTTACCGGACCAAATTTTTCGACCTGTGTTGGCGTATGGGCTCCTATGCGAATGCCTCGATATCGCCTGAATATTAAATATGGTAATCTACTTGGCTGTGGCTAGCAGAGGAATCTAAAACGTACGTTTCCTCCTATTTCAGACTCGTCAGCTGGATGTACCTGAACCCTAGTGAGTGATGTTGTCCCACTGGGACTCGGAAAGTTTGATCCACTATAATAACGCAGAATCACAAGTATATCAGCAAACAGTTATGAATAATACCCGTTGAACAAGACGTGACTATCGTGCCTTACTGAAATAGTGGATAACGCTTTGACGTTTGAAGCGATGGGTACTGGATTTGAGTCACAGTAGGAAAAATATCGCTCACTGGAATGCAGGTACACCCAGCCGACGAGTCCCGAATGAGACGAAACGTGCATCTTGGATTCCTCTGCTACTCAAACCAAGTAAGTTACTTGAATTATGGTTCAGTTAAAGTTTAACGAAGACCAGGCATCGGAATTTAGTCTTGTATCTAATTTTAAGTTGTTATCCATCGTAGACTAACATCAGTTGGAGGAACAAAGTAAACCTGGGAGCGCCGTTTCCTCCTAGTACGTGACTCAGCAGTGCGCACCCACGACCCCGCCAGGGATCGAGCCAGCGACCTTCAGGTTCCGTGGCCAGCACGTTACCATTGAGCCACTGGGTCAGAATCCAATGGTCCATATTTCCAACTTCTGTTATATCTAATTTATTATTTGACATTTATGTCATTTGTCTTATCATGCAGGACGGGAATCGGATAATTAAATAAAAATTGTTTTCACTTTTTTGAACTAATCAAAACTCCTGAACACCATAGTGTTAATTCCATGACTTTTTTGTATAGTTGACTGGAGAACAAGTACTCATAGGCACCTTCATCATTATTAGTCAGTTACTGTCTAAGGTAAGATTAATAAGTAAACTTTTGTACAATATTTTGATACACTGTTCTATAAAGTTATGAAGTTTCACACCTTTAGCTGCATAAGTGTGATGTTAATGGGTCGACTGAGATGGTAGACATGGCATTTATGACCAGAAAACTATATAAAAGCTCAAAAGATAAATGATTCCCAATACTTACAGTAACTTATCTTGCATTACTTTAGGCAATTCATCATTTCAAACCTATGCGATTCTCAGAACAACAAGAAACAAACATCTTTGAAGTAGACAACCCTACAACTTGAGGGACTCTAAAGTCTATTCAAGCAACTACTAAAATAGCTAATTAGGTTTATTTTCCTATGCGAAACTGCCTTTCTAGGCAGTGGTTGCCAATGTGGCCTCTGGCGTTCTTATTTCAAAGCTTCATTGAGTCAACCACCTCCCAAATGCAGATTATCCACAAGTGAGAAACAGTAAAGTTTAGTAAAATAATGACTGGTCACGAAAAAGACATATTTTTGAGGACGATATTACAGTGGTCGGTACATAACAAACAGTTTAGTGACTCCCATGTTTGATTTATCGGATTGAGTCATATGGGAATATACAGTTTCTTTCTTCAACGGTAATTTAATGTTCTGTTATAACAGAGGGGAAATTAAAACAGTCATTTGTTTTTAAATCATATCAATGTAGCTGCAACGGTGATCTCGTTAACTATCAGCGGTTCTGCTCTGCAGATACGAGTTTTCAGTACCTTTAATACTGTTTCAGCAGAAGAGAATTCATTTTTTGTACACTGAAAGACAACTGAACATATTTAGCTACAGAAAATAAAATCAAAATATATTATTTAAAAAAACCAAGATACCCATTTCCTCCCTAACTATATTTTTAATGTTCTTCATTGTTTTACATTTTACCCAATGAATTTGAGAAATGATTGATGAAAGCACAGGTTATATAATATTATATGTGGCTGTTTATTTACCAACTGACCGAATTTCCTTATTACTGTGCAATGATTTATCTTTTTTACGCATATTTGTTCCTCCATCGAAAGCATGCAAAATTCTGGATCGAGGGATAATAGCTTTGTATGGACCCAGTTCACCGTCCCTGGCACACGCGCTACTGTCACTGGCTAATCGCTTTGGTTTACCATATGTGGAAACACACTGGAGTTTGGCACCACCTACTACTTATGCCATACATTTACATCCAAGCATCGAAAGCTATGGAATAGGTTTATATGAATATTTAACTCAGGTAGAAAAATGGAAGCGTATGACCTTAATATATAACAAACCTGAAAGTAAGTTGAAGTAACAGAATATGAATCAAACTTGCCTCATTGAAAGGAAGTAAACTTAAGTAGCATTTTGAAATATAATTTGTTGTTATGATTTGGAGGAATCTCTGGATTTTAGAAAACAGTTTTATTCATTGTTTCTTTGTTAAACACAAATAAAACACTGACCTTTCAAGTTTAAATAATTCATCAATCCTTTGAGAATTTATTTCATATTATATGCATTCCTTTTTAATATGTTACCAGTCGAAATCCTAAGTTACATTATTGCATTTCTGTTTCAACCTGATACAAGTAACTTCTTAAATGGATATTTCAGGAATAAGTTGAAAAGTTAGCTTTTCAACCAGTGGTAATCTGGTGGCTGACTACTTCAAAAACCTACGTCTTTTCCCATATAAATGGGTGAAACAATACTTATATTTAGGAAATGATCATCGCAAAAGTGTCCTAATGGCTTATCGTGCCAAAATGTAATATAACTAAATTTGAAAACATTTGTTTCCCGATACAAATTTAAAACAAGCAACATGTGTGAAAAAGCAGGATTTAATGAATTCATAAATTTCAGTAGTACTCGTCAGCTGGATAAACTATTCACTTCTATGTTGTTACACCTAAATTTGTCTCAGTCTACGTTGTATATGTATGTACGTATGCTCTTTTCCATTGCATAACTACATTTACTAACCAAATTGTATTCTAAGATCACGAAGTTTGATGGGTTATTTTTTAAAGGTTTTTGGAGATTGATTAATCTTGAGGTGGTATTCATCACGGAGTGATATCGGATGGTAAATAACTGGAAGCAATGGATGTCTGTTTCCCTCTAGTATAAGACTAATTAGAAGGATGCACCCTTGGCTTCTCCAGGGATAGAATCCAAATTCATTATGTTTCGTGTATGATACGTTAATCTTGAGCAACTAGGTCTCCAAAGGCATAGGATGATGTTCTTGCATTACTTTGAATTGACAGAAGCAGTTAATTCTGGACCATTGATTTCCGAGCCAGTCACTCAATGTTAACGTGCTCAGTAAGGTTGCTGATGGCTCTGGGTTTGATCTCTGAAAGGCTCGCAAATGCACATTACTCAGTGCTATACTAAGATGAAAAAGCTTTTAAGCAATTCCAGGGTGTCAGCGCCTTTTCCGCTTGTGTCTTCTTGTGACAAATGCTACTTTCGTATTATTTTATTGTTATGCAACACAAGAGTCAATTACTTTCTCTTGGTAACATTTAACATTCAAATCATTTATAGCTGTTTCAAACTAGTTTTATTTAAAGTGCTCTTAACTTGCTGTTCTATGTTAAATTAGGTTTGCTCAAATTCACTACTTTGGTGAACAATTTTGAAGGAATTTTGAAAATTAAATCTTGGGACGAAATGCAAGTGGGGCCAGAGCTATGATGGCAGAACTGGGTTCAGGTTTGGAAAAAATTTTCTTGTTGACATTCCAAGCTGGCAAGTTAGCAACTTTTTGGTTATGGTGAGTAATCCTTAGTTAAATCGTTATGTCCTTATGTTTCCACATATTTGAACAAATAATCTGTCAGGAATAGCTGAACTCCCCTTTTCATACATTTCGGCTTTTTCCCTGACAAAGATTCTGCTTTTTACTAAAGCGCCTATGAAATCGCAGAGTAAAAAGCTCGAGATTTCGAGGAAGGGTTTGATTGCTGCAATTAACGGATGTGTTAACCTATTTTATATTCATTCGCTATTTTGGTAACAGACTATTGGTACAGTACTATTCTCGATACATGGATCACACTTGCCATTTGAATGTAGGTACATAGATATCTTAACACTCCAAATACTAACTTATTTTGACAGTTCAACTTTCACTTTTAAGATTTAAGATAGCACACATTATTTACTTGTAGACGTTTTGAGCATAAATGACTGTTCACAACCACATTATAGTAATCATACAACTAACTTCCACATCATCTCATATAATCTTAGTTAAAGTAGGTTTAGTCAGTTGTTTAAGTAACAGAACCAGAACACATCAATCAATCCAGGGACCTAATTGAAGGGCTGCAATACGCAACTGAAACACCAGTAACCAGTGATCGTCCTCTAAAGCTCATGAAACGTTTCCTAAGCACCCATAAGAAACGGAGTAGTAATGTTAATATGATTAGTTATGGCAACACCAGTACAACGGAGTTCCAGGCTTCTATTTTGCTACCATGTTTGGAAGCAACACGAAAAAAAACGCGTAGAATTCTCAACATGGTTGAAATTAAGGTGATATCTTAACCTAGAAACTTACTCAGAGATATGTTTTATTGACTTGAGGACCCAGTGGACTCAATTCAACGAAATAATTTGATCCATCTTATTCATGCAATGAATCTGAGGTCAAATTCAGTGGTCACACTAGCTGATCGTGGTTATTTAGCTTATTGGAGCATAGAAGTTTATCCAAATATGGAAAGATCGATCCTACTAGGATCAATAACCTGGAACAGATCTCGACTACTGCGGTGCAAGTATTGACACAGAACTGTTTAACAGGACGATTAAAACAACTGCATTTAAATGAAACATAGGTAGATAGACAGATTCACAAACCGTTGTCTGTCAAATCCAAACCTAACACATGCAATAGAAATAATGCAACACCTATGGTGGAGATGTGGAAGACTTACAACCACGAAATATAAAGAATATAAGGTTATAAGACTATGAAAACCAGATGTTGAAAGTTGTGTGGTTGCTGTGGTACGACTGGTAGCAATAGTTTATACTCAAAACGTCACCAAGTAAATAATACTGTGTACTATTTCAAATAAGCAAAACTAATGAGGAATAATGGTACTCTGAAAGACAGCAACATTTATTTTAAGGTCAGTTGAATTAAGTTTCTGATTATCCTGTTGTACATATAAACCGGTAATATATGAAGAACTTTCTGTAATATTTCACTCATTCTCCATTGCTCTTTGACACCAATATTCTGGGCGGAGTTTGCTAGTCCCATAATTTCACAAAAGACAATTTTTCGTTTGATTCTAAATTTATGCATTACCATACATTATATTTAGTAAGTCACAAAACGGTGATTCGTAACTGTATAGTCAACTGACTTCAGGCAAGGAAAACTGTTGTCAACAGTCATTTCTGAAACCAAAACCTGACATCAGAAAGGATTATATTCCAACAATAATACGTAAAAATAAAGTATCACCTAGGGTGTGAAAAATGCTCATGGGGAGTCTGAACAACGGATTCAGTGCAATGCGAACAGAAAATTCACAAAAAGTACTTCAATATCCGAAGAAATGCCTAAAAAATTTAAAGAGACTGCAGAAAATAAGCAAGGATGAGGAAATAGCAGTGAATTCATTCAGTGCATAACCTCCTCATAAATTCATGAAGTAAGTGGGAAACTTGACACAAGAAAATATAAATTTGAATATCTAAGATAGCCGTATTCATACTGGATGATGATTGAACGTGAAATGATAATTCGGGCTCCAACAGGATTCGAACAACTGATCAATGGGTTTCCTGCCCAGTGCTACACGAACTGAGCCATGAGAACCAATTCCTGACCAGATTTTTATTCTACCTCAATCAAAAGAAGAACATTAGAAGTATTTAACCAGAACCTGTATATGGGTTACGGTTAAAAGTCATATGAATGGTTCAACATAACGATGGATTGAGATGATTCTCAATACACATATCCAATGAATAGAATAAAATATGTTTTAATTTTATAAGAATGTTATTATTCTAGGTGATCAGTAAACTCATTCACCCCTATTAGAAGGTCTTATTTGTAGTTAGGCTGCAAACTTACAAGGCTCAATACGCTAATGGTCGAAGAGCGCTATAATATCTAAGACTAAGGTGACCTATACCATACACCATACTCGTAAGTCTAAGCAAACAATCCGGTTTAAACTTAGCCTACTTTTTAATGCAAAAGACAATAAACCGTACAAGTGAGCATAAAAATATGACATAACCAACAATATGATACTAAAAGTAGTTCACATCACAAACTTCGAAAAGTACTGATACAACAAAACTTATTTAACAGCATTTAGCTTTTCCGATATTTGTGTCCAACTTTCCGACTAAATTTTCAGATAACCACTATTTATCGCATTTTGTGGTTGTTAGTTGTCACCACCAAAGCAAATGCGCAGAATCAGAGTTGTTTTCTAAACTATTTTAAATATATGATTTAGCACCACTGAGAGATATTCTTTGAGACACTTGAATAATAAGCTGCACTGATTATGCAATACTAAGTGGGGAGAGATTTTACACCTAGTGGTTAACCTCAGTTACGAAGTTGATTTGAAGCGCAACTTTCATTGATTCTCATTCAGCGTTGACTACCTTTAGAATAATTCCAACTTTAAACATCAAATTTCTCTTCAAAAATGAAATTATTGTCAATGATGGGTAATGGCTAACAGTAGGACCAAAGACATGTTTTTCATTTAACATTAGACCCATCAGGTGGACCTAGATGCATCCCCATCTGTGATGTTTCTATCAATGAGACTAGAGCTTAGCACCCATCGCTTTAAACCTGAGGGAGTTATTCACGAGGCTAGTGAATCCGTATGTCGAAGCCTTTGTTTAGCAGCCAGAGTGCCAATGTTGACGGATCAGTTCGATCAAACGAAAGACAGGAAACTACAAGCCACAGCATAAAACTACACGTGAAGTCAGATGGGTGGTTTTCCTGACTCAGCGGCCTAGAAAATGACGCTCTGGATTTTATCGTGATGGGTACTAGGTTTCAATCTCAGTGAAAAGAACACCTGCTGAGAGGAAAATACATTCAGTTGATCAGTACCGAATATAATGAAATGTACATCTTGAATTCCAATGCTAGCCACCATCCATCATTAGTATAGATCGCGCCTTGAGTACAGTATCGCATATACCAGCAGTGGCTAGTGAATTTGGTTCAGCGAATGACATAAAACTACGTGCTTTACCATGAAATTATTTACGGTTTATATATAATGTTTAAGAGCCATGGATTTAATTGTCGAACAACCTATAGTAGAGGTTAATTATTACATTGAAGTTAAGTCAGTCCTCCGTAAATTTCATTCCACCGTTATAAAAACTGACTATAATGAAAACAAAAGAAAAATGTTGGATTTGTTTATAGGTGTTATTTCTGTAAATCAGTTCAAGAAAATATGTAGAATTTATTTGGTTCACAAATTGTTCTAATTGTTTTTTTCACAGGCCTACGTGCACAATATGACCGGTTATCAGTACACATTTATATTCACAGACTGGGTAAGCATACTTATTTTTGACCCTAGTAATCCAGATGACCAAATCAATGTGCAATATATGTAGTGTATTAAATAGCAGATCCATTAATAAAATGCTTCTTAGCTTAGTCATTCTAAGCCTACCGCTGGATAACATTTTCACCATCTGCCGACGGGATCGAGCAGTTCGGCCATGTATAGCAACCGAAACAAGAATTGGTACCCATTGCACAAAAGGTAGCTATCGGCCCACGTTGGCTGAGTACATGACGCTTTGGTGCTTGAAACGATGAGTACTGGGCTCAAGTTTCAGTTGGAATAACATCATTCACTGAGGTGCAGGTGCATCTAGCTGATAAGTCTCTAACATGACGAAACCGGCGTCCGGAATTCCACTGCCAATCACCAAGACAAATATAACATCTGACGGTATTGAGGTATTGGCATAAAAGCTCATCTGCTGACAGGTCAAAAAATACAACACTGTGTAGCAACGGGAAATTAAAAGTATCAAAACAATATGTTTGTTACTTGTTCATCGTTATATACATCTCACATTTAACGTTTAAGCAAAGAATACAAGTGTTTTGTTACCTCGACGTTTTTTATCAAAAGGCAAATCGATCTGACTAGGCAAATCACCTATTCGCAACCTGGCAACAGATGAACTGATAAAACTTTGGTTTCACATTGACTTGGCGACAGACAGATAGATGAATGCAGAAGTACATGGGTGAAAGTCATCACATTGCACAATAACATACAAAGCAGAAGTGGATCGAGAAACACTCTTATTGAGACTTGATAGAAGATAAAATATACAAATGAAGGCTAGTAGGAATGCTTAAAATCGCTTGATGGGAAACAGTATGTGCATCTGCTCTATCGTGACCACTTTTGAACCACATCACCTGCCGTTTCCGACCGTTGTTTCTTATCATCTCAAGGAACCCAACAGTTCAATTTGTATGTCTCAGACCAACAGCTGGAAACTGTATCTATTGCTAAAAGTGTTGGTAAAGTGTGATGAGTGTCAGCTAGTTATTTTAAGCTTAAGCTGAGCTTTTAGAAGAAACCAACCTATTATAGCTTGCCAAATATTTCAGTTGAAAAAGCATTTTTACATTCCATCATATAATTCTAAACTCACATTTGGTACAGATCGGAACTCAGGCATTAGCTTACATTTGATGGGTGTGAAACGCACCCGAAACACGCTTAGATTATCGGTCATGAGGTTCCAAATACCTTGGGTTTTGTAAGTGTCTTTAGTTAATAACGCCACCAAACGCAGGCAATGCTACGGAGAAATCTATAATCGAAACCCTGTTACCGCTTCATGTCATCTACTTTTAGCAGACATATCTCACAGCTATACAACGGGACAAAACAGGCTGCAGCATAGTTTACCCACCTTTTGATAGGTAGCCGGATATTTCGCCAGTCGGCCACACAGATGACGCAAGTTGGCAAACGCCAAACGCGATGGATACCACCAGTTGTCGCCAATTCACATGGCGACTCTCCTACACGCCCTTACACGCCTGCGTGAGTTCGATTATAGAGATTTGATTAGTGTTATATACTTTCTCGGTACTCTGTTTACAGTCAGACACTACCACAACACCTCATGGTCGACTGAGTCACATGCCGCCCTCAGGTCAAGATATATGGCAAGCATCGGCCACTGATTGGTAGGTGTCGCTGTGTTACAGAACCTGTCGGAGGATAGAAATATGATCAATTTACTCTCATCCAGGCCTGAAACCCGCCTGGTTTTGTCGAGTTTGCTGTTCTCCAGCTCCTGTTAGGCTCCGGGTAACTGTGGACCCTAGGATCTTGTACGCAATATTAGTCAAACTAAATCCCCCATAGTTGGCAAAAAAGATTTTCCTCCTTTCTTAAGGATTGGGATGATCAGTGAGGTAGACCACTCTGATGGCACTAAATCTGATCTCCAAATACACAATACCTAGTACCTCCATCACTCTGGGCAGCGATTTCCCACCTCTATCCTTGAAAGCCGAGGATAGCAAATTGTCCGGTACTGTTGCTTTGCACCGTTTCAGCTTCGATATAACAGTCTCAATTCAAGGGCAGTTGAAAAACAAGCATTTACGTTCCATTCAGGTTCAGACTTACTGGATGTTAGGCAAGTGAAGCGTTGCTAAGGGTCAGTTGAACTGTGCTGTGAAGTGTTTCGTCCAACGTTCTAGCCACCTGTCCTGAGAAGTTATCAGTGTCCCACCTTTTTCAGTGATGGTTTTGTAGGTTTCTAATTTCATTTATCGGTATTTGTACTGAAAATCGATTACTTTGCCAAATTTTATCTGAACGAGAGTTGCTGATGCATTCAGAAAAATAATTACTGACTTACTTCTGTAGTAAATACACACCTATTGTCCTGTCTGTGGCTGAGTACATAAGGGATTTATATCTATTTGCTTTCTAAGTCCATTGTTACATTTAATGACGCGTATCCGATTGATGCATGTCTTAGTGGAAGTACATACTCCAAAATGAGTGATAATGCTTCACCAATCACCTCAATTATAACTGGTGGTGAAATTATATGCATGTTCACCAACGGCTTACTCATCAAGAAAAGAAATAGTTGATTCTGATTCCTTCTATATAGTGCACTTGAGGGCTTGATGACATTCATTGAATGAACGAAAAACACCGCCTAGATCAACAAATTTGTCACAAATAACAAACATGTCGTCCATATATCTGCTATAAAGGTCAGAGCTATTGATAGCTTGACAAAGTTGAGAATTCTCTAGTTTTGACGTGAAAAAGTCTGCTAACAATGGTCTCAATGGTGATTCTATCGCAATTCCATCTTCTGTCTATAGATTTCATTATTGAAACTAAATTGAGCAGTAAATGTACACCTCAACAAAAGCTGTTTCAAGCAGCTGGTTGGTAGTCCTACGTTTAAATTATGTGCATCATTATAGTCACATACATAACAAACAGTCTCGGTGAGTGGCACACTTGTGAACAATGAAGTAACGTCTAACGAAAACATCGTCTTGTCTAAAGCATTGAAATCTCTAATGCTCTCAGCAAACTGAAATGTATCAGGGATAAAAAACTCGACACTTGCCTTCAAAGAGGTTCCAGAATTTCAACTAACCATTAGGCAGTTCGGTGATAAGTAGAACCAGCCATATCCAAGATTGAACGAAGAAGTAATCTGGCTTTATGTGTCTTCGGTAGTCCATATAGGCCTGGGATTATGGAACCACTTAGTCGTATAAATCGGGGCCGATTATTGACTTGTCCCTTAGGCTTCTTAAGACGCTTGTGAACTGTGTTTCAATTATATGTGACTTGTTGGACTCACCTTCAGGTTTAGGAGACTTAGTGCGATCCAAGAAAATTACCAAAAGTTTATGAATATACTCCTGATGATTAATTGGGACAACACCTCCTCCTTTATCAGGACGGCTTATGATAATATCACAGTAATCCTTGATTAATTTTAGCTGTTATGTATGGTCCATAGTCAATAAAGACCTAGATGGTATTTTTGAGTTGGTAAATTGCTGATAACAGTCCAGAACAGTGGACTTGAAATGCTGAAATTCCTGCGGCGATGAAGGCCTAAGATCGACAGTCTGACTGATCAGGCTTTTTCTTCAGTAAACACAATAGAAAATAATTCACACTTACCGAAGTCTGAAGCTAGGCTCATAGTCTTTGGAATGCCTTCGAAGTACCAATATTGTGTCGGATGAGGAACTAGCTGGCCTATTTTTATTTTATGTTCGTGAATTCTTCATATAAAGGAGGGAATAAAGTGGAAAGATCATTAAAATCGTTGACTTACGGGTCCATAACATAAAAGGAGAGGATACGATAATCTCATCAGTGGAAAAGAACTTAACGTAATTGCTGTAATTTAACTCCCAGCACTAAAATTTGTCATAAGTTTTCATTCATTTATCAAGCTTTTGTTACTGAATCAGTAAATTCTTGAACTTGAAACAGAACTCATACTTGAATAAAGTTACTTCGTTTCATAGTCTCCATTGGTGGATACAGATGTCTAATGTTTACCAGAAGAATAAGGTTGGGAATAAAAACGTTGAGAACAAAGGCCTGAAAACCCTTGGACATTAGATAGTCTGGTAGCTGTCCTATTTTTGTAGTAAAAATTGAGACAGGATAAACCATTACCACTTAAGAAAGTCATAGGCATCTATGTTTCTATGTGAAAGCCAATAATCAGCTAACAGATGGTGAAATATACACTTCCGAATTGTGATTGGATTCTGTTGCGAATTTACTTTTTCTTAGAGCAGTAGGAAAAGAAGTGAAAGATGCGAAAGTGCCATTCAGAAGTCACAGTTTTTTCGTTAAATCACCACTGGATTTTTATTTATGATGAAGGCAATAAATTTAGTACTATCAACTTTTGGTCTTAAAGACGACTGCAGAGTTATTTCTACTCCACTTTTTTGAATTACTTAAGAATTCATATTATTTCCTCTTGCAAGGACTAGATGCTTGTTTACAGTACCTTAGAATACTGTGTACTTCCTTATGAACGCCTTCAATTAAATACAGTTTGAACGTTGTGAATGTAATCTAATACGGTTTAAAGACCCATAAGTTACCAAAATGTTAACATTAAAGTTAATAAGCAAATTATTTGGCAAAGTAAAATGTGGTTAAATAAACTCAGTCAGCCAAATAAGAGTTCAGTCGTGCGTTTAAGCGACTCAGAAGTATTATTTCTTGTCTGACAAATCGCCTAATTTCCCATGAAGTACGTACGTCTGATCTATCTAGATTTTCATGTTATAAATTAAAATGATACTTTCCTCTGCAGAATAATAGGCTGAAGCTATTTTAAACTACTGATTGTTCGTTTTGCTTATCGGGTCAGAATAACTAAAGATATTGTTGAATAAGTCACTATAAATGCACGTTATAACACAAACAATAAAACTATTAGATGAATATATTTCTGGTAATTGAAATAGTGGAAAATATTTGTAGCTCAGGTGCA